TTGAACTATATATCTGAAGTTTCTCTATCTAAATCAAAGGTCATAATCAAAACTTCATGTGTATTGTATGTCACTTTCATGCATTCTTTTCTATATTTTTCAAAAATGATCAGTTTTAAAAGAATTTCGTCTGATACATTATCAGAGAAAAAGACGTCCTAACTCCTCCTCTTTCGATTGGTGAAAGGCACAGGTCTCTAGCTGTTTGCTTTCTCGAGCTATTCAAAAAACAGTCGCACGCACAGAATTTTTGGACAGACTATAGTATAACATATAAAGACAGATTTCAGAATAAAAAACTAATCGAATATAAATAGTTCGGTTTGTTATATGGCACTCGAAAGAAGATGAAATATGACCTAAGATCTAACGAAACAAGTTTCTCAACTAAGAAGGTGCGAATCCACTATTTCGTAGATCCAAACCCGAACAAAGTTTAAAATTTCGACCCCTATCCGACCTGGACTCAAAAAAAAACCTAAAAATTGGGAGCCGGACCCACTTGGATCCAAACCCAAGGTTTTTTTTCCATGAATACCTGACACCCTTTGTGTACATGAACAAGTAAACGATCAAGGCTTCAGTTATTTATTCACTACTCTCAGACAAAAAAAAACGAACGTATAGTTATGTCTTGTTGCTGTATGTCTTATCTAGGGAGCAGCGGATCCATAAAAATGTTGAACCGGGCTCTACAAAAAGTAAAAGGCTGAAGTTAGATCGCAAAAAAAAATTAAATTATGGATTCGAATCCGAGTCTGGAGGGAGTCATAATTCCCTATCCTCAACTGATAATATGATGTCTTCTCTACGGGTATTCGAGGAAACTCAATTAAGTAGCAGCAGAGGAGATATTCCACCAACATAAGTGACCATACCGACACCCAATATGTTCTATGCTAGTAGTTAATTGAGTTTTCGAGAAAATCTTGAAAAAACATCTAATCGAACTAATTAATCATCTTGAAGTTTGGGTGATGTGTATTATGTATACTCTAATCAGTTATGAAAACAGTTTGAACTCATAGCTAAGGTATTGTATTTGTTAAAGTCAATGGCATGATGTCTATCAACAACACTAACAAAATGGATTTTCGAATTTTGACTTGAAATTTTCTATAGAGACAAACATCTTAATGAGAATAATTTATTGGAAAAATTTCAGATTTTTTTGATTTTCTCCTTTCCTGAAATAAGAACATGAAATATATCGGTTCTATAAAAGACAATCTTTTATCATAGCTAGATCTTAGGATAAGAACAATGAAATCATATCAATCATTTAATTCTCTCTCTATGGAAACGTTTCAAGTTGAAATTCTAAACATGAGTTTTCCTTGTGTTCTCAAGGAAGAGCATGCATTAGGATCTAATCAGTTGGGAGGTTTTTCTCCTACGATTTTTTTATCAATTAATGGTCAATCCAAATGAGAGACTGCAGGTGTTGAGTATGAGTGACATATTTTCATAGTGAAACTTAATAATAGTGCTCATGCACTTTTCGAAAATAAACTAAATATTGAGATAATAGCTAACAATGAAAATTATACTAATTCAAATCGATTTTCATAAAGTTAGACTAATGGATTGATCAGTCGGATCACAAAATATAACTGAAACCTTTTCTTGTTTTTATTAGAAATTTTTCGACTATTTTATGAAAGACAATCTAAAAGGAGTGTAGAAGTGTATAGGGGTGAGAATTTGGAACCACCTTCTTTTCTTCACAGACGATTCCGAGAGATGATCACGAGAGCCCATCGAGTCCTACTCAAACTCGAACTCGACCGAGTCGAAAAATACTTGAATAAGATGATCTCTAACCATGATAGACCGTGATAGATAGCCTCGATAGATCATCACAGACTGCGAGAGACATATTGGATATATGATTACCGATCATATATGAGAATAATCTCATGAGCATATATAAACTGATTCTTTCTTACAATTCTAAAGAGGATTAAAGTAAAAGATGATGAAAAAAACCTGAGTCTCAAGATAGATCGAATAAAAGAATATTTTCGGCGGCGATTAATAATAAGAGCTCGAAGGTGTTTCACATATTAATCTGATAGGGACTGTGCTAACAACTTTTTCATATCGAGCAATGTTTTGTAGAGTTGAGTATTTGTTGAGTTGAGTAATTATTTTATTTTTGATAATCATTGATTGTTTAATTACCTATTGGAACGAATAAAATAATAAATAGAACTAATTCTATCAATAGTTAAATAATAACATTTTAATAAAATTATCTGTTAATAATTTAATTTCTACCTGATTTTAATCTGATAAGGATTGTGCTTGTATAATATAATTGTCCAGTCGAATCTAAACTTGCCTGAAGAATTCTAGTTGCTTCTATTAATCGTCGATTATTATAAATATTTAATAAATGAGAATCGTTTGTAAACCTGTTATAGATAAATAATCACTATTTTATTGATTTGGTTCTATTGATTATATTCTAAATGGTAGATTAAATCTATTTTATTTATTGTTGTTTAATCAATGTTAATTGTAATATAGTTAAAATTGATTGTTTATCTTTTTCTTGACTAACAATTAAATATTGTGTTTGTTTGTTGAGAATTTAATAGAGATATATAGTGACGACGAATTGAATTTCTATAAATTAATTCTTTTATTTGTTGTCCATCGTTCATTTCTATATCATAATTTGACATGTTCAAATCCATTGTTCTTGTCAATTTCATATACCAGTAAATAATTGTTATTGTTCTTGTTTATTTTCATCATTTTCAATAGATAATAATTGATTATTTGTTTATAAATATTGTGATATAAAATCAAATGTTATTTGTCAATATTCAATATTTGTCCTTATATTGATAATCAATAAATGGTTGAAGTTATTTAAATAAACGAAATCTATTATATTTGATATGTTTATTTTCTATAGATAAATTCTAATCTTGTTCGTTAGAATTAATTTCTAGAATTAAACGACGTTGACAATTTGTTAATTCTTTTTTTTATTCGATAATGATCATTTTTTTCTTTTCTAATGATGATATTAGTTGAATAATTGTTGTTGTAACTGGACGTTTAACTAATGGTTGAGATCAACCATCTTCTTTAGCAGCACAATCAGAAAAAAAAGAATTATATTTTGCATATGATAGATGATCATATGCAATGACAAAGATTAGCATATATTTGACAAATACCAAGACGATTAATAATTAAACATCTATGATAATGATACCAATGTTGATTAGGATATTCTTTTTGTTGTTGTTCTATATCTAGATTATTTATTTTGATCATATTCAGATTGAATTATTTATGAAAGAAGAGTTTTTGTTGTTTTTGATCAATATTTCTATCGTTCATAGTCATCTGATTCATCAAGTTTTAATGGAGATTTAAAACACGTTGGATAATTTATTGTTGATAAATGTTTTAAAGCTGTTAAAATATAATTTATATTTACAAGTAAATAAAGAGTTGCTTGAAGAATATTCTAATGAAAAAGTTAAAGAGATTCAATCGATGAAGATAGAACTGATGATCATCATGTAGAACTAAAACATAGAGAAAAGAAATATTAACAATTGAGAAAAACAATGAAAAATTTTCATATGTTCAGAAATAATGAAGAAAGATAATAGAATATAAGATGGTATGCAACAAAAACGAAATTCAGTGACATCCTAACAAAAACGAAGTATAGTAGAAAGAAGTTCATCAAATTTTTACTTAAGTTATTCATCAGATATATGATTTTTAATTATTCGAGTTAATTAAACAAAATTTAAACGATCGAAATGTTACAC